ACGGGGCTGTTGAGTGATGGCAGAGCACCTCTGCGCTTTCGTGTAGGTGGCCCTGAGCTGTGCCCAGCTCCTTGGCTCCCCCTCCACTGTCCGGGAAGATCCCCAAGTCGGGGAGGGCCTGCCTCGCCCCACTGTCAGCTGTCCCAGCCCTTACGGTCTCACATGGCACAAAGGAGCCCCGGTGTTCCGTGACCTCCACTCAGACTGCAATGTCACAAACGAACCAGACGAGTAGACTTTAATTTTGAAACCTGCCTTGAAATGTGTGTGAAGGAGAAGGTCACGGGTGGCGTGGGGGTGGGGAGCAGCATGTCAGCACCTTCCTAATAGCGCCTGGTTCGGAACAGACTCCATGACTGTTTGTCACAAGGAAAGTCACGGATTGATCACCCAGATGTGCCGGGCTCTGGGCTCAGAACGCTGCCCTGGGGATGATCTCATAACTTCTCCAGCCCTAGCCACGTCACGGCCTTCTCCAGACAGGGTTATGCAGCAGGCTAAGTACAGTGCCCGCCTCGCAGGGTGGAGCAGCCCTCAGACTGGGCCCTGGGGACGCCCTCCTCCCCCAACACCCCCCCCATCCTGGGTTCTGCCGAGTGACAGAAGCCACGCTGCTCAGAGACAGAGATCACCACCACCCTGTGAGGCGTTCCCCTCCCTGAGCCTCATTCTCCTCGTCTGTGAATCGGGGCAATAGTAATACCGACCCTGTGGGCTGTAGGGAGGGCCGAGGGACACGCTCGGTGTGAAAGCCCTTTGGAACTAGCACAGGTCGGGCCGTGGCGGCGTTGCTGCCGCTATCACCGCGGGACGTGCTACGTCTGAAACTGGATACCCAGTGCCGCGCGTTGGCAGGTGAGGTGCAGTGGAAGGTGTTTGGGACGTGGGGCGGATCCCCCAGGGATAAATAGATTAAGGCTGCCCGTGTGCTCATGGCCGGGTCCCTTGAGGTGTGTTGTTCTAAAGCAGGCAGCTGCCCACAGGGTTGTATTTTCGTTTGGCCCATTCTCTGCCGTGGCCTTCGCCAGGGCCCGGTAGGCTCTGGCACCATGCTTTTGGACTTTCCAGCCATTAGGACTATGAGTCAAATAAGCCTCTTTTTTTTAATAAATGACCCAATCTCGGGTATTCTGTGATAGCAACTAGTGAACTGAGTCAGGGCACATCCTGGCTGCCTCCCTGGACGCTGGTGCTAGACAGCAGACCTCTGGGGCGGAGGCCCACGGAGGATGAGCAGGGAGACATCCCTGTCCCCACCACTCCCAGAAACACCCTCTGGTTGCCAGGAAGTGCGGTCCGCGAACACTCATCCCTCAGGCCTGCACAGGGCTCCTTGGAGCTGCCAGTGGTCCACAAGACTTCTCAGTGCTAGGGCTGAGAGGGGACCAAGCCAGAGACGGTCGCGGCTGTGGCAAGAGCCAGCGGGCTGCAGAGAGCGATATAAAAACAATCGCGTCCAAGGAACTGGGCCCCTCGGCTGTGCCTCGTGCTGGGCTAAGCAGTTTGCGACCCGCATCTACTTAGGAACACGCTAGGACAAGGCATCCTTACCCCTATTTTACAGGTGGGGAAACCGAGGCTCAGAGAGGATTGTGATCCTAAGGTCACATGGCGGGTCTGGGGTCTGGACCTAAACCAGCTCTGTCCTTAACGAAGGGGATGGGGGCACACCCTTGCGCCAGGGGTAAGGCGAGAACTGGATGGAGAGGGGAAACACGCTGGTACGTGGGTGAGGATGCAGAGTTGGAGACACAGCTCTCAGGACGCACGTGCACACAGAACTCGTATCTTTGGAAATGCAGACTGAGACCAGCGGTCTCTAAGTATGGCTCTTGGACCAGCAGTGTCAGCTTTCCCGGGAATGTGAGAGATGCAGATTTCTCGGGCCCGCCTGGACCTGCAGGATCCCCCGCTCCGGGCTGGGACCCAGTCGTCTGTATTTAATGAGCTTTCCGGGCAGTTCGGATGCACGCTGGCGTTTGAGAGCTGTCAGTGTGCAGCATGTCTTTGACCTCAGATGGCTGCTACCACCTGAAGTCCCTCCCCTTCCTGAGCCTTGGTCTCCTCCAGTAACGGGGACCAGAGCATCTCACCCTATGACGGGGAAACTGCTCAGGGCTCTTTGGCAAAGGCACAGGGAGGGTGGACCTCATAGAGGAAGTGACTTTTGAAGACTCCGGCCCTCCTAGCAGCATCTGCACTGCCTCCAGCCGTGAGCCAGAGTGGGCCCAAAGTCAAGATGCCTGGCTTCTGACCCAGCACTGAGCTGCCTCATAGCACAGGCAGAGTCTGAGATCCTGGTGTGTGACCTCCGGCCAGCTCCTCGCTCTCTGCATCTCCACGCCTACATCAGCACAGTGGCACCCATATCAGGACCTCCCCGCCGGGCTGTGAGGGCCAAGCGCTCGGCCCAGCGGCCTGCCCGAGCACCCCCCAGTGGCCGCCACCCCTGGGCCCTCTCTATTCCATTACTCTGCTTTATTTTCTTCCCGGTGTTTGTCCCGGCCCTCTCACTGAGGCACCCGTGCCTGTGTGGCATGCTTGTCTCGTGTGTTTGGCTGCTGAGGACGCACACTTTGTCCCATGACGCGTCTGTGTCTGCTGCCTGGCACTTCGGAGGTGCTCAATAAACATTTGTTAAATGAACGACAGAGCCCACATCTCTGGTCAGACTGGGAGCTCCGTGATGGCACAGCTGTTTCGTCCTTTGCCAGGTTCCCTGGTGTGGCCAGCCCAGGGCCAGGCACCTGATGGCCACGCTGGGTCACCTATCAGGGGAGCTGACTGGCGAGTGAGCAAGGGGTTGCTGACAGAGGAGAGGTTTTCCCTGCCAGGCCGGATGCCCAGGGGACCTCCCATGGCTGCACTGAGGCTCCACCAGGATGGCAGCCGCAGGGCCAACGTCCCTCTGGAGGCCTGGCCTTTGGGGGTTTTCAATTTCCCCAGAAATAGCGGCTTTCCGTGGGGCCTCCATGCTTTCACTGGTTGCCCATGGTCAGCAAGCTTTGTTTCCCAGGGAAGTATTATTTGGTAACAAAGTCAGAGAACTCAGCGCCCAGCGCCGAGGCCAAGTCCCTGGCACTCTCACAGCGGCTGTTCCAGAATCGGAGTGTATGCGACAAGAACATCAGGGCCGGCTGCGACTCAGAGACCTCTCCATTCACAAATGGAGGCTGGGAGGAGGCCAGCCAGCCTGAGGACACCAGTACTGAGACTCCATTTTCAGAGGCCTGACTCCCAGTCACGGAGGCACAGGGAGGGACGTGGCTGAAGGCAGCGTCGCTCTCCCTGAAGCAGGAGTGTGTCGCTGCTGAGATGTGATCTCAGATGCCCCAGGGAGGCCCCTGGATTGCACCCCCACCCTAGGAGCACCCCATCACACTGTCCCTAGGGTGCAGCTCTTGGCTTCAGCCTGGGAAGGGGTTCTACCGCTGTGGGGACCCCACAGCCTGGCATTCCCCTCCCTGTGCCCTCACTGGGTCATGGAGCCTGGAGCTGGGTGGTCCACAAAGGACCCTCCAGGCCTGTGTCCCATACCCATCTTATCAATGTGGAAACTGAGACGAGACAGCCACCCCCGGGACCTCTCATTCCTCCCCTCCAGTCCGAATGTGGGAGTCTCAGCATGTGCCAGGCCTGTGAGGAGCCAGGTGAGGGCCAGACTCGGGTACCTCACAGCTGGGCACAGCCTGGGAGGAGACAGGTTCCTGAGAGGAGCCCCTTGGAGGGCAGCCTCTGGTCAGTCCCCCATTGGCCTGGCCTGGCCTTGGGCAAGGAGGGAGGAGGGTTCTGTGTGAGCACAACAGGCATCCTGGCAGCTGAGCTAGCTCTCGGGGCACACGCATGTGCATGCATACACACACACATATACCCCTCCTTGCCGCGGCACCGGGGGCAGGGCCCTCACTCACCCATGACGTTGAGGAAGATGTTTCCCGATGCCAGGACCACCTTCTCCCTCGTGGCTCGGTCGTAGATGCCTACGTGGCATTCGTAGGGACCGTTGTCTGAGATCCGGACCTCGGGCAGCCTGTGGGGAGGCAGAGGGCAGGGTGAGGCCCATCGCGGTGGGGCTGGAGGCGCCATTCCAGGAAACCAACCCCGACGCCCACCTTTCCAGCCTTTGATGGACTAACCAAGAGCACCAGCCTGCGCCCAGAGCAAGGCTCACAGAACACGACTGCACGCAGGTCCCCAGCTCCACCAGAGGGGGGCTGGCTGGCTGGGTGCACGGCTGCTGTCGAATCTCCACTCTGCGGCCCCGTCGCTTCCGTGAAGTGGAGACAGTGCTGGTGCCACGAGGACGGCATGGGCGGGGTGGGGTCGGGGACCTGGCACGTCACTGGCAAGTGGCATGGCCCAGAGCTATAGCCAGGGCCCTGCCTCACGCACTCCTCATGGCCACCTCCACACAGGGATCGATATCCCCATTTCCTAAACCTGAAAACGGAGGCTCTCGGGGCATCGTCGCCCCTCGCCCTGTTCAGCCAGTAAGAACCAGGATGGGGGTTTGAACTCCTCTCTCCACACTGGCACGCTGCCACTTTATGCCCAGTCCTGGGGACATCAAAAAGCAACACAGTAAAATTCTTGTCCCCAAAGAGCCCCACTTTCAGCGTATGTGAAGGGAGTGTGATCAATGTCCACAGTCACCTGGAAAAGCATGAGTTCTCTGAGCCCACATGGAGGGCCTCTAGGAGGAGGTGACTCATGAGGATGGGAGAGACCTTCTCCCATAGTTTTCTCTGAAAGGCCAGAGAGTACGTATTTTGTACGTTTTGCTGCCCTTATGGTCTCTATGGTAACTACTCAGCTCTACCCACGTACCAGTCGGTGTGGTTGTGCTCCGATGAAGCTCTATTTATGACGCAGAATTTTGAATTTCATATCATTTTCATGTGTCACGAAATATGTTTCCTCAGGTCAGCTGGTGATGGGGTGGTTAAGGTGACTGAATCCTACAGGCCGGCTGCAGTTCGAGTGCCAGACCCAGCGGCTTGAAAAACGCTCTAGGCACTTGTGTGTGCGTGCGTGGCCAAAATCCCAACAGGAGGGAGAGATGGAGGCGAAGGGGATGCTTTCTCACTTCCTCTCTCTCTCACTGTCTCTGGTTAACACACACAACCTCTGGCAAATTAATAAAAGAAGAAAAAAAGAAAAGAAAGAAAGAAAAGAAAAGAAATAGTCCTCTTTTTTTTCTTTTTTCTCCTCCAACAATTTAAAGACACAAAAAGCATTCTCATTTTACAAGTTGTGAAACAACAGGTGAGGGGCTGGATTTGGCCCACAGGCGCGGTTTGCCACCTCCTGTTCTAGCTCTTCTGGGGTCTACAGGGTGCGACCCTGCTATGGTGAGGTGGCAGCTGCTCTCCCTCCCCATGGAAATGGCAATTCAAATTCTACTCCTGCTGGCCCACCCCTGAGTCTCCATTTTCTAATTTAAAAATGGAGCTGACCCTTCACAGGACCGCAGTGAAATTCAGTGCAATGACGGCGGCACTGCAAGCCTTGTGGAAGCAGGCCAGCCCACCCAGATGGACAGAGGGCATGTGTTGGTCCTTTGTCCGGGGATGCCCTGTGGGGGAGGAATCCCTGGCAAGTGGGCCCTGGCCACTGGGGAGGGGCCTCAGTCCAGAGCTACACGGACAGCGGCTGCCCTGTCTGGAAGTTTGAGCATCTTCCGCCAGCAAGTCCCAGACTATTCTGTCCACAACCCAGTAACTGGGCCCTCTGGTTCTCTGAAGTTCTCAAGTCACACCAGAAAACCTGGGGAAGAAGCCCCATCCATCGCCCCACCCACTAACTGGCCCATGGTCATATTCGAGAGACCCCACTGGGGATAAGGAGCAGCAGGTGACCAAGAGATCGGGCTCCTGGGGGGCCGTCTCAGCCCCGTGACCCCCAGAGGGACACGCTTTCAACGCAGTCCTTCATTCCCACTCCCTGGCAGGCCATTTCCCACTCTGCTCAGCCCCTCTTCCATCTGTTTCGGCTGAGCAATTTAACCTCAGATTTACTCCTCGTGTTTTAATTGTCCCCCGCCATCTTTTTCTTTCAGCTTCTTTGTCCTTATGACTCACGTTCCTCCCCTCCCTCCTCCGTCCCTCGGCACACCTGGTCGCCCCCCCAGCCTCTCTTCCCTTGCTGCTGTCTCACTGACTGAGCCCGCCGGCTTCCCACCACCAGCACGCATTAGCATAAACAAACACTTCATTCACAGAGAACCACAGCGGTTGACACCTGGTCTCCTGACTGTCCTGGAAGGACTTAAAGAAGTGGGGTGCTTTTCATCGGGGGAACTTTGTGGAGACATGCCACCTCCCTCTTCTCACTGCTTTCAGAAGAAAGAGCACAGTGACAGCAAGAGCAGCAGGGGACCTGTCTCCCCTCAGGGGACGATTTTCTTTGTTTGTAACTCAGCTAGACTGAAAAAACAGCCTCTTTGCCAGGCACGGTACTGAGTGACAGTCACCTAGAGTGACATGTTTAGGTGACTCTCGTAGACATCGGTTATATGGGAGACCTGCTTAAGTGTCTTCCGAAGGTGATGGGTGCAGGGGGCATGCTCGGGTGACAGCTCGGAAAGGGAACAGGCTCAGGGGACCTGTGTAGCTGGCAGCTCCCAGGTGATGTAATAAGACAGTAATGATAAGCCTGACACACAGGTGGGTGCGCGCAGGTACCTGCCACACAGGTGACATATGCAGATGTGTTTATGCGACAGCCACACAGTGACATGTTTGGGCAATCACTGCACTGATGACATGCTTGGTGACAGTAACTTAAGCAACATGCTTGGGTGACACATGTAGGCGTCACAACACAGGTGGTACAGGGACATCTGGACTGGCGCTTTGTAAAGAAGGTGGCTTCCCACTTAGGGCTAGCTCCGAGCCCCAGGTGCTCCTCCCAGGTTCCCTAGCTTCAGGAAGGAGCCTGCTTTCCACCATTGATACCTCACACTCCTGGACATCGGCTTTGCGAGCTCCCGCTCACACGCTCCCCAACGACAGCCAATGACCAAGTCCTGGGTGAGCTCCCTGCAAGAGGCAGCCCCAGCTATCGCCCCAGGGCCATGCTTCCACCTCTTCTCACCTGGAGTCTGGAGGCAGAGGGTGGACTGGCTGTTCTGCCCCTGCCCATCACTCTCCTGACCTGCTCTCTGGGAAGAATCCAGATCCTTTCAAATGCACACAAGATTAGTTGTACCCCCGCCCCCCCGCAATCCATTCAAATTTATTCTATGTTTCAAAACAGCTAAAAGAGAGAATTTTGAACGTTCCCAACACCATGTAATGATAAACGTGTGAGATGATGAATACACTAATTACCCCAGTTTGATCATGACGTTTCGTATTCATATACTGCAAAATCACACCCTACCCCATAGGCATGAACAATTATTATACGTCAGCAGGCAAAACAAGAATTCTCCTTTCGGCCAGCAGGGCTCAGCCATGGTCCCTGCCATGTGTCTCCAGCGGCATCTCAGCTCACGCGCCCCCCCCCCCCCCCCACCCCCAATCGCAC